CGCGTGCTCCGCAGTGATCTGCAGTCCTTGCAGTCAACGAGTCAACTGTACCTTCTATCAATATGAAGGCAGAAGTACCAAACGAAAATTCTACAAGCGTGAAAATAAGTATAACAGTACAGTTTATTTGCTCGTGATTTGGAAGAATGGAGCATTGACCCAGTTAAATCCATAAAAGCTTTCATCCCAACTCAGCATCTTCAATTAAGGTGACGAGATTTTACCGGCCACCAGAGCTACTACTAGGTGCTGAATATTACAACTGGACAGTAGGTGTGTTGAAGTTCTGAAGCTCAAGTTCTGAGATAAATAATTGACTTCAGATCTATGGTCTGCCGGATGTGTAGTAGGTGAGATGATGCGAGGAAATGTAATTTTTCCCGGCCGCAACGGAAAGCACCAGCTCAAGTTGATATTCACCTGCATTGGTAGTCCTACAGAGGAAGACATTCGCATGATGCGAGTCCCTACACGAATTCGCTTTGACGGCAGAGTAATTGTTGGCAGTGGTCTGAGCAAGGTCTGCTTTCTCTACACTTTTTATTTGTGAGGAATATTAGGATTTCTTTTAGCTTTGTCCGGGTGCAGATAAACAGATGATCGCATTATTGGAAAAAATCCTTGTGTATAGACCAAAGGAGCGATTGTGGGGTCCAGAATTACTGAAGGATAAAGCGTTTGACGCGATCATTCAGTAAGTCAACTTTAAGAAAGTTTACTTTGAGTCCCGCTAATGCATGCAACTGTGAAAACTTGGAGGTTTTCAAACAAGCTCGGTATCAGAATCTTTTATGTAAAGTGCTAAGGGTCTCAGCTCTGTCTAAGAGCAGCAGCTTATAATCTGCTCTTGACTGAATTCGACTTTACATTCTCGTTTGGACCGTATCAAAGACGTTGATTGCGACACTTGAGAAGAGTACGGTTGTTGCGGCTCGCTGGACCCACACTCCTAGCCGTGTGCGACTGCTCTGCACCGAAAAACCACACTCTGTGATAATGCGCATCCGCCAATAACAGATCCGTCGGTACCTCCGCGCAAGTGGTCACCCCGACCAACACTGACTCATGTGCTATGCACGAAAATTAGATAAGTTTACATACCCTAACACTTTATAAATTGCACACATACAAACTAC